TTGCGACAACGTGAGACGAAATTGTTTCTGTTGCGTAATTTTTATGAAATTCTCATTGTTGAAGATTGTTTATGTACATAAAAGTCACTATAAAAATAAATAATGAACTATTTGTACTTTGTATAATGTATTAAATGAATTATCTTGTAATCAAAACTTTACTCAGTATTCTGCATAAAAGTTAATTATTTCAGTAAATAATCAATGAGTAAGAAGACTACTAGATAAAACGACATGTGAGTTGTGATTCAAATACAGTGGTTCAGTAATTATATCTTATATAATTTGGATAACATATTTCATAGAAATTTAAAGAAATATCTATTTAAAAAGGATGTTAAAAGAAATGATTACAAAAAAAGTAAATATAGTGAGTCACTATACAATTATATTACAAAATTGAAACAAGTAAAATGAACTACTAATACTCAAGTTTAAGATTTGTTTTTATTTTATGTATAATCAAATAATAATTTTGATTTTACTCAGTATTAAAATGTTACAGCGTTACAATCTGTAATTAAATCGGACCAATTATCACAATCAAATAAAAAGGATGTACACTTCGCGACAATACTATAAGACACTGTACAGTGCGGGACAAAGTTGAGTGGACACTCTTTAAAACGCAATAACTTTTTAAAACTGGCCTAAATGACTTGAATTTTTTTAGATGATAATGGAGTAGTTCACTAGACAATAACTAAAATGTTTTTTCTAATTTTCCTATTACTTGAAATGGCAAAACATTCACGTTTTTTATTTATTTCGTCATTTTAAGCAACAACAAAATTAAAAAAAAAACATTTCGGTCATTGTCTAGTAGAATAATCTCTGTATCATCTAGAAAAAATTCAAGTCATTTAGTCCAGTTTCAAATAATGTATTGCATTTTAAAGGGTGTCCACCCAGTTGTGTCCTACACTGTATATAAAACCATGTAAATCCAAGTAGTAAGAAGAAAATGTTATTGTTTACTTCGCGGGACGTTCTTGAACGCAGCGTCATAGCTAATATACATATAATATATTGTAATGAAAATACATTCTGTTAGCCGCAACAAAGTTTCTATTAAACAGAAAATTGTGTAAAATTATCAATATTAATCGTCCCCTGGAGTAAACAATAACACACTATACGCAGGTAAGTAAAATTCTTTTTTATACCAAAGATTTATATGGCTTTATATATCGTCTTACAGTTATAGTATATAATTATTTTGATTAGTCATAATTACAAATATGCATTTATAGAGATAATTTAATTGAAAACATTTTTATTATACATATTTTTATAAACAAGTATTTACATTTTTATTTGATTTTTAATGATTAACATTTCAGCTCCAACATATTAAAGCAGTCTGTAAAAGCATATAAAATTAATTTATATATTATAATTCAATGTAAGAATAAGTGAAGAATTTTTCATATTATAACTTAAATGTATTTTAATAGAATTTTCTATATAAAAGAGAATTCATTTACCTGTATTCACCCATTAATACTGCATAGAACAGTATATTCAGCAAAATGCATTTCCTGTGATTCTATTCACTTACATCATTTTATATAATAATGCAAAAAGTGTTTCACATCTGCCTCTAACCTGCACAGAGTTATAACAATTAAAACAGTCTACGTTAAAAATAAGCGATAAATAATCCAAAAACTTACTTCATCAATTGTACGGTCCAATCTTTTACTGACAATAATAATCGAATTATTAGAATATTCTTTTCTAATAGCTTGTAAAAGAATCATATCTTCTTGTCGTGTCCATGGCTTAATATCTGTATTTGTATCCGAGATTTTAACATCATCAGATGAATCCATTTTGTTTGTGCTGTGATTTGATATTTCACCTTCTTCATCTGATAAATTTCTTTTTTTCATTTCTATAATGGTATTTATGCCTAATGATTCGTCCAATTTTACATGGTCATCATGCGATTCCACACATTCTAATTTAGTTTGTTGTTTATCGACCTTCCTTTCTTTTTTACTTTTCTGTTGTGTTATCCGTGCTCGTTTTGTGCTGGCACCTATTTGGTCCATACTCTCCATCCTTTTTAAACCTCTTTTTTTATCCGTTTTTGGTGGAGATTTTACATTTCTTTTAGCCTTTACTAATACTTTCCCTACCTCTTCATTATCTTTAACAGGCGAACTTTTCAACATACAAGACTTTTGATATTGTTCGTCAGGATTAGACTCGTTCTTTGATGATTTTCTCCGTGGTCTGGACGGAATAGGAGAAATAAATTTATCTGCTGTTTTTAATGACACGCGAGCTATATTTTCTAATTTTTCTTCATCAGCACCAGGAAAAATAATTTTAGCCGGTCTCAAGCCTTCAGATGTTTGAAGATAGATCTTTCCATTCAGAAACTGTGGGAAAAATTTGATTTTGTCTTATCCGAATTATTGCAATGTAATAAAGAAAATGCTAGAAAATAATACAAATTATTTACTCTCGTTCCACAAGACACACAATGTTCAGAAATACTTTTACAAATGGAATCATCTCCATTATGACAATTGCACTTGCAATTTTCTCCGCCATAAGGATCTTCTTGAGAACCTGATAGTGGCAGTTCAATATTTTCGTATAATTCTGATGCATCTTCAGTATACACTTTATTTTTATCATGTGGACCCACGGGACATGTTAAATTTTCAAACATATGCGATGCAAATAAACTGTAGAATATAACAATATATTAGGAAAATATCTTATATTAAATATTGATTTTTGTATTATTCGTTCTATTGTAAATATTACCTTTCAGGTGGTTTAGCGGTAGGTAATATTTGCAAAAATAAATCCATGACCAATGGGTGTCCCTTAAGTATAGGACCCATAATTGAATGAACATGCTCTAATGTTGTCTGTGGTTCGGACGAAAGTTGAGTGATAGCTTGCATCATTTTTGCTATTCGAGAAGGTTGCTTAGCAAAATATATTTGAGCCACGTTAATAAATTCGCTCATTTTTTGAAGCATTATATATTCAACTGATTTATCTATTATCGCAGCTTGATGGGGCTTTAAAAATAATAAAAAGTCTGTACAAAGTTCAGGATATTCGTGTAGCTTCTCACACACATCCTCGTATAAATTAATAGCTATAGCATCTTTATCTCTTGCTGTTTGCTCCATAAGTTTTTCATTGTGCAGAGCTCCAGGCTCATTAGAAAAAGACAATTCGCTCTCCATTTGATTAATACTATCCAATTTCTCATAATAATCTAAGTATAATTTTACAACAGATCGAAATATGTCAGGACTATTAGACTCCAATATTAAATGTAATTTTTGAAGATATGATGCTGCAAATTCTGTATAATAAAAAATAAAAATGTTTCGTTATCTTACATTTTGTACATCTAACTAAGAATCTTGTAAGATTATTAAGCGAAACCTACTTGATCCTCTTTCTTCTTCATTCAACGGATTTTCAGATTCTAAAAGCCTCTTAATATTTTCTATCTCTCTAGCTTCTTTAGCTTTTTTTCTACTAAGTGAGTCTTTTTTAATAGTTGTACTTGCTAACATTAGTTCTGCTATTTCATCTTCATTATCCTGGAATAAAAAGCGAATTAAAAAATACAATGATAAAAGCTAGACTATTCCCATTGTAATAGACATTTGATAGAGAAACAAAATACGATGTTGTTTGTATTTCCACTTTTACTTACAAGTTTTGGTAATGATTGTGTCTTCTCAAAATTTTTATACATGTCATTCTTTTCTCTAGATTTTAAAGTATTGCAACTGGAAGATAATCCTTTCGGTCCTAGAACTTGAGCCATTAACTTCATATTTTGAGCACTTCTTGTCTTTGCTAATCTAGGCGTAGTTCTTCGCAATTGTGGCAACTCTTGTATTACATCTGAAGACTTTTTAGAAAACTTGGAATGCTTTGATGTAGCCGAAATTGTAAGTATATCATTCTGACTGTCTTCTTCTACTTCATTATTTTGTAATGGTTTTTTTTTCTCTTCTATATTTACTGTATTTTTCAATGAATTATTATGTTGTGATGTGCGTTCTTTATTTACTGTATTAGAATTACATGCTACTGTATTCGACTCATTGCTAGATACTTTTGCTGAATTTTTAGAATTAATGTTCTCATTCAAGTATGAATTATTTTTTGTCATATAATTATTTGGATTCTTTTTGTTCGCAGGCAAAGGTAATATCTTTGGGAACATATTTACAACAGGATTTCGTAACGGATGAATGCTGGGAACAGTTGTATAAACTTTAGCAATTCCATTTACACAGTCATCCTTCTTCATGAGATCATTATAGGAGTTTAATATATGTTTTCTCTTTAACGCATCAATTTTCTGTTCTGTCTGTGAACAAATTCAACCAATTTATTAACACCATCTCATTTCAATGATATAAAAATTATTCTCTATAATTTGTTAAATGTTAATGGAGATTAAAATATCGAAAATATTTTAGATTAGATAAACGTACATTGTTAAGATAATTTTGCCACTCTTTAGGCAAACACTCTATTGATTGATCCTTTGGTGCTTTAGGATCACATTCTCGTGTTATATAATGTATCGTTTTAGGAGCGCAACCCTTTTCAAAATAATGCTGAAAGAATAATTACTTCGTTGTAATTCTTTTATTTAAGTAATATGTGCAAATACATACCCTTATGGGATTGCCATCATTTGCACATCTCCTTTTTCGAATATGACGACATAATGCATTAGGTTCTCTGCATGGTAATAAATATTGAATGACCAATTGCACCGCGTCCATTAGTTGAAGATTCTTCTGTTTGAACTTTCTTGGTTTTGTTGCAACGAAAGGAATAAATTGTTCAAGACCGAGTGCGATTAAACTAAAAAGATGTTAATTAATTCACATCTAGTTAAAAAAGAAAACATATTTACTTACAAATCTTCTGATTTTAGGAATGGAGTACGTGTATATTTATTTATGTCACTCTTGAAAGGTAATTCAGGTAACAGTTGTGGATACATTAGTGCTTTGCTTTCCATAAATAATTTTTTTAATTCTGGATGAAACTTGGGAGTATATTTCCATTTGTTTGAAGAATATATCTCGTTTACGGCATTTTCATCTAAGACAGTTTTTTTTAGATCTTCGGAAAATTTATTATCCAAAAATTTGTTTTCCCAATCGGACATCAATTTTAAAGCATCTACCAAATTTGCTGCATTAAATGCAGAATTAAGACCGTTACTTAAATTCCTGATAACAATGTCACAACAAATTTTAGTTATTGATTATTATAAATTTATAATTTCTATATTATTTAATAACGAACTTACTTTAGACTCGTTATATTCTGTTTACAACTTTTTGACTGAAAATCTAGTTCTGGATGTCTATATGTCATAACAAAATGTTGCACCATTAACTGAGTATGTTGACATAGTTGAACTGCCAGTAATTGCCTTTGATTAGCATTCATTAACTCGGGAACATCATGTTCATAAGTGGGCAACAAATCTGTTACAGAACAAGTCTGAAAGACAAAATTGTATTTTTTTTTTTAAATTTATGAATGTGGTTATTATTGTCTCCTTACCATAGGATTGTTTTCAATAGATGGATTTAAATTCTCCAGAGATTTCCTTTTCTTTGAAATTTCCTGTTCCTGCATCGAAAATGTGTCAGTAAATTCAAACAATTCTGCAATTAAATTATTTAATTCTTTGCGAGTAACTTTCACAGCTTTATCTGCTCGCAATTCTTCTTTGTCCACTACAAATAAATAACTTATATTATTTTAGTAGTCCGAATAAATTAAGAAGCCTGAAATATTAAATTCCAAAAAGTAAATAATATTAAGTACAAAATTCTGTTTCTTCATCGTCTAAAATATTATACTCTGGATCTGCTTCTGGATCATCTTCAACTACAGGTTCCTGAGTTAATGGTTGAGTGAACTCTTTCAAAAAATTGTCCCAGTCTTCATCAATCTCACAGTCCCAGTCATACATATCAGTTGTTATGTCTGGTGGTATAAATGCTTGTTCAATTTGTTCCAAAGGTGTTTCGCTCAAACAAAGTTTTGAACGTGTTCTTTGACCAATACTTTCTTCTTCTGTTGGTACATGAGGAATACTGAAAAGTATTGCCTATAATAAATTAAAATAATTTCATCATAATTTACAAATATTGCATAAAGTATATTACTCTGGAATTTTAAAAATGCCTTCTGGATCATATTGAATATTTTGTGATTTAGGTTGTTCAATTGATCTTGAATCACAATTATTTGCTGGTGTTGTAGGTTGTGAATCTACATCACAATTTATAGAATTATCCGCTTCTCTTTCATCATCACTGTGTTTATCTTGGTCTGGATTGTACTCTTCATCTGAAGAATCTTCTGCTAGTTCCTCTTCGATTAGTACTTGTACTTCTGACGTAGAGTTTTTTACTGGTGTAATTGGCCATGGTATATTAACTTGTGCTGCCGCTAATTCTCTACATAAAAATATTATATTTATATTAAATTCAGCATTATATAAAATCATACATCATATGCAAAGTGCATCTTGTTATTTTATACTTCGCCTTTGCTCTTGTCAATTTAGGTTCAAATAGTAAATCGTCTTCTGTGTCCTGTAGACGATTTTTAACCATTGCCATTACATATTCATTGGTAATCACATGTTTAATGATATTTTTAACGTTTGTAGCTGTTAAGTTAGTCTTTGCTGCTTTAGCATCAAGCTGTCTTTCAATCTCTTCTTCCATTTCGTTGATGACTGAAGAAGTTTCTTCAACAGCATCTCTTTTATGTTTGCTGGGGGGTTCGTAATTATCAACTTCAGAAACATCAATTTGCAAGTCTGCAGTCTCTGAATCGGAGGATACGTCACTATTAACATCATCAAAATCAACATTAAAAGAAAACGATAAGTTACACTTCTTTTTAGTGTCATTTATACAAATGGAAGAGGGAGCAGGTCTGGTTATATCCTTAATTGTAGTTTCCATTGGAGATTGCTCCCTATAAAATAAATTAATTAATTCAATCATTCATTCATTAATTATACATCAACATATACCTATATAACCATTATTATGTCAACTTACATTGTTTAGTTATCACGACTTTGTCTGTTCTATGAAGAAGTATAAACAAACTTTTCATTATACAAAATTCAAGTTATACTTATTTAATGTCTTCCAACACCTAAAGAGCATTTAAAGTATGAGTAAATGCATACTTGTGCTGACAACTGATAAATATTCGACAGGTTATAAATAAGCATTGATATTATTATAGGTTATACAGAGGCACTAATAGCAAATACTAATTTACTAAACAAATCACTTTTTCATATATTACATTTCACAATGTATTTACGTGCGTCTATTTACAATTTAATATTTACTACGATTCCTGCTTTCATGCCAACTTACTATTTTTATGATACATATCGCATATGTATAAGGTGTAAAAAAAGTAAATATCACGACTACATATGCTAGACCGATTCTGTGTTCCTGATTTAGTGGAAAACAATGAAAGGTGCCGCAAAATTCACCTTCACTGGTTTTTCAAGGTCAAAAGGTTGGAAATTTATTTTGAATGTATCGTTTTCTACTCCTCTCAAAGAACAAATTAGTTAAAGAAACCATGGTATTAGAGCTATGGTTGGTCCAAAGACCAACGTCTCAAAAGACGGGGAGAAAGCGATACCTACATTGGACAAAAATATCAATTTTCTGACCTTGAAAAAATCAATCAAGGTAAATTTTGTGACACCTTTATTACATTGTTTTCCACTAAATTGGAAGCGTAGAATCGATTTAGCATAGTCGTGACATTTACTTTTTTTACACTCTGTACATATGTCATACAGTGGCGGTCATTTGAAAAATAACCTTTTTAATACTAAACTAAATGATTTGAATTTTTTTTTAACAATAGAGGAACTAGTCTACTATACAATGACTGTAATACTTTTTTACAATTTTGTTATCACTAGGAATGACGAAAAAAAAAAAATCTTACGTTTTTCAACTTTTTTATCTGAGCCTATAACGAAAATTTGAAATTGCATTTTATAACTGATATATGTATATGTTGAAAATTGTATTGAAATCAGTTGACACACAGTCAAGCTACAGCCACTGAAAGATATAAAAATTATTATTATTATTATAAACTATTATTCTATTTAATATATTCCGAAATCAACTCTATAGTTATGTTCGAGGAATTGAAATATGACAAATACCCCATCAACAATAATAAAATGCAGAATTTTTCGATTTACACACGTTCAATTTACACATTATGTAAATATCGTTTTAAATCTCATTTAAAGATTTATTAATGAAAATTTTAAACGTGTTTACATTTCCTGCTCAATTTGGCGCAACTTGTACAGTTGCATAATTAAATTAAAGATATCTTGTGAAATATCGATAAAATGAAAAAAGTATACCCCCAAAATGTCAAATTAATGTCAAGAGAGAATAATGATCGTTGTCATCGACTTTCGATCGTCTCTTTCAGCTAATGCAATTAAAATAAGTTAAAATGCAATTAAGAAGCGAAGAATGTTAAGTCCATTTGCCCTGAAGGGTTACCCTGAAGGAGGGAACATAATATAAATACGAATTCCGAAATGTGAAACGGTCAGTTTGGTTTGACTACGACTCCACGCAGAGAATAGAACCGAAACATTCTTTCATTTAAAGACACTGAAATTAGTTGGTCGTAAATTAAACATGAAACTGCAGCTTAGCATTTTTGTAACTTTACTTGTTTTATCAAGTTTTGCTGAAGCGCAAAAGTCAGTATCACAATTACTGACGGACAGACGTTACGTGACGCAACAAATCAGCTGCATCCTAGATCAGGCTCCATGTGATGTCATCGGAAAAAGAATTAAAAGTAAGTTTGAGCAATTTTTATCGATGAATTGTATTATGTAATTGTGTATGGTAATTTTAATTTCGGGTAAATTAAGTATTAATATTAAATATTTTTAATTTTTTAATATTATTATATATTATATATTAATATAATATAATATTATTATTATTATATATTATTATATATAATATTATCATTATTATAATATTATTATTATATATTATTATATATAATATTATCATTATTATAATATTATTATATATCATTTTTAATTAATAATATTTTAATTAAATATTTTTTTGGTAATTCTATTTGGTCCCGTATATAAGGATCAGTATGCATGCTATTGTAATTTATCTACACCTTCCCAATAAAAGTGTATTAGTAACAATACAATTAAAATTCGACGAAAAAGCACAGAGCATAAGATTCTTAGTAACAATCTCAATAACTATTAAGTTCCAATCCTATTTCAAGAATTAACTATAGCTGGTCAGTGAATGCAAGTATTATAACCAACTTAAACTGCAATACACCGGCAAATGTGATTCTATTATACGAAAATGTAGTGTAATTTATTAACTGTTGTTATTCAATATTTTAACAATATAATTCAATTGTCTTCGACTTATCGTCAAAAATAATTTTACATTTATTTTTCTTATACGAGCATTATTAAGTATATCATTCGATTATAATTTCTAACGTAAAATAAATTTTCTTTATGTTCCGGTTAATGTAGGACGATGTAAACTTAACGTATTCAGCGGGTGTTGCTTAAGATTAAATCTTCTTTTAATTTCTTATTATATCGAATACATCGTGAAAGTCTATGTTACTCTAATGACTTTTATGTAATAGCAATGTATAACACTTCCCGTTCTACATATACATGCTTGCATACGTGCCTGCCATCTGAATACATGTACATACATAACATATACATATGAACATGTAATACCTACGTAAATACGTATAATAGCTTAATACATCCTGCCAGCCAATTTCTTTCTCCTCAAAAGTTCATTTCTCTTCAAATCTCATATTATCGTATACATATGTCTACATGTTTAGATATATGTATAAGTGTATAAAATTCATAGTCTAATATTTATTCATTGTGAGATTCGATCTGATATTTTTGGCCGATTTTGCTGATTTACAGTAAACATTTAAGTATCCAAAATCTGTATAATCTATTTGTAGGCTTGTTACCGGAAGCATTGAATAACAATTGTCGTCGTTGTACACCTCGGCAAAGGGAGCATGCGAGAACATTAATGACGCTGATGCAACAAAATTATCCGAAGGAATGGCAGATGATCGTGCGATACTACTCGACAGTGCCGAATCGCATTACTGCTATGTAACTCATTCATCTCAGCATTATTTAATATTATTTGTCAAATACCAGAACATATAAAGATTATAATAATGTCGTAAATACGATGGTACCCGAAATTATCATCTTAATCCAAGTACAATATGTAACATGTATACAATCTATAATATATGTATAATAATCTTATATCAATATATATATAATAATAATCTATAATATATGTATAAATCTATTAAGCAAAATGTTCAAGGTTTACTTCTGATTGTAAACAATATTATAGTTTCTTATTTATTACACACTCTATTCACTTATTGACCATCATCGTCAGTAGGTACAGCAACCCGCTCTTTACTGGTTTTTATAATTCAAAAAACAAAATAAAGGTCACTGAAAATTTGCTGGAAAAAAGGTAGCGCTTTTCATAAAGGGGCAGAATTTTATTCACATCCTGTAGATAATATTCTATTTATTCCACCTGCTTCACAAATGTTAATGTGAGCAGAATTACAATCAGCATGACTAATTGTTGTTAAATCCGATCGGAATGTTTGAGAACACGCAGCAGCGTCTAATGCTTGCGATTATTTAATACAGTATTGGGTGTTAACAGTAACTTTAACCAAAAAATTCTTTATCGTATTTTTACTTAACATGTATATAGTATACAAAAATAACATTCTTTTTATTGATATTATTTCGTTTCGAAAGATTAAGCGTCTAGCGATGATGAAATTTTGTCTACTAAAATAGAAGACCAACAACGTTTCAGGTCGAAAATATTAAATAAAGGGGTTTATACCGTTAATAGGGTTTACTGTCGCCTGCAAACTACGAGAAGGTCAAGGGACAAGGTAGAAAGTTTCGATCCTATGGTCGGTTTTTCGCAATATGAAGGAATAATGATGTTGTTTGAAACCATAATACACCTTGCATTCTAATCGGCTTCATGATTGTAATGTCGAAATGAACGCGTCACATGTATAATTAGAAGAATTGAGTAATATCGTAATATAGTTTTATTTCAGCGATATATGTATATATCGCATCTTGGATAATGTCAAGAATAATCTGTTTAAAATGTAAATTATTTCGATGTGTAATGTATGTACTATGTTTATACTCTTTCAGAAGAAGTGCTACTTTGATGATGCAAAATTCTAAAAATATTCACCATTAGTGGGATATGTGTTTCTGTAGTTGCACACTGGTAATATGTATACTAATAATATACGTATAATAAATAAATATAAGTTGAAAAAAGTTATGAAAATATAAATTAATTAAATATATATATATTTATTATAATATATATATATATTTATTTATGTATAATAAATATATAAATAAATATAATATACTAATAATAATACAGTTAACAAATTCGTCATATAAGTATAGCTTATTTAGTACCACTATTATGTACAATAATTATTAATCTTTACAATATAGCGTCATCTATATTGTAAATAACAAACTGTTAATCAACAATGACAAATAGAATATTATAACCAACCAAACGCAAAATAAACTGTTAGAAGTAAAATATTCTGTGAATGGTAGAGCATTAGGTAATAGAAAATTCAGTAAAGTATGTCAACCGTAGATTGTTTCATGACGTGCATTGTTTTCGTAAACAATTTCAGGACTGCTCACTTGTAAACACTATATAAATAAATAAAATTGCATACTCATTCCCGAATTTGTATGTCGTATAGTTAGAAACATTTAACTATAGTAAAACATAGTTTATTTTATATTCTAATAGAGGGAACTCATTTTCTTACTTGAATAAATTAAAGACAAAATTGTGTTACTTGTAAGTAATTAATAATAATTCCATTACCTATAAATTTTAGGAATTTATTGTTCATGCGATATACATAATTAAACGTACCGGAAAAACGTACCTATCGAAGTATGCGAAGTTGTGAAGAAACACTCGGTGATCGTTATTGAAATACATTGATTCAGCATTCTGATATCCATACCATAAAACAACGTATACTAAATATAACACTCGTAATGCATTCACGTGTATTATTAATGATCAATGAGATGCAAACGAATTTCAATAAAATAATTATTTATCATTGTGTTAAAGTTACATAATATTTCAAATGCATGATATATTTCATACGATTATTAAATCAAACTTGTATTCACATGAAATTTGTTATAATTTGTTGCCAATTAATTCTATCGATGATTAAACCAACATTTTTTTTTTAAGAATTGTTAAAACAGCCTTCGATTTATAAGTGAAAATCATTTCTGACCATGAGCAAAATTTTTCGTGTCAGCTGAATTTTAAGAACAAGCAAAAGAGCAATACGATTGATACTTATTAATCCAAGGTTCATTGTGTTGTGCAACCACGAGAAGTATACAAAATTCTACAAGGTGTTACAAATACTTCAACGTGTATGTCAACGTTAGTCGGGTATATCAACAATCGATGAACAATATATTATGTATTTCGTAAATTTATTAATGCAATTTAAATGCACGTAAATTTACGTGCATTTTGTAAATCTCGGTAACATATATACATGCTGAAAACTTAATCGAAATCGGTGGATCTCGTTAATAAGCTACAAACAATCAAAAATTGCGAAAGATAACAGTTATTCACGATTTTCGCAGTTGCTGTGAACACCGCTCACAGCAACGTTAACTGATTTCGATTAAATTTTTGTTCGAAACGTAAATAAAAGGGTTAGTTGATTAATGGTTTTCCTTCCTTTCATCATTCTAACCAATTGCAAATTTCATAAAAATTAGTTTATGTATTAGTATTCTGTAGCAAACTAGTCCCTCTGATATCTCGAAAAAATATCCAAGTTATTTGGTCCAATTTTTACGAAGTTATTCCTTTTTAAACAATATAATAATAATAATAAATATATTAATAATATTATTAATATATTATATATTTCATAATAAATAGTAATATTTTAATATTTTATTGAGTGTACACACAATTGTAGCTCCACGAGACATTATCAATCAAGAATTTAAAGCGTGTAAATAACGGAAATAACAATTGACGTCAATTTATCTTGAACTCCGTCCGATACGATTATTACTTTACGAATATCAGTATTCTACCAGCTTCCATTATGTTTAGGTAAGGTTATTGAAAATAATATGTGAGTATGAAAACGATGGAAGGAATTGGAAAGGAATTTTGCCAGCAATTTTGAAGAAATTGCTAATGCATATGTTAACATACGATATTTATATTATATTTATATATATATATATATTATATTATATTTGTTTATTATATTATTATATATATATATAATAATAATATAATTAATATAATAAATATATATATAATATATATATTATTATATTAATTATATTATTATTATTATATTTATTATATTTATCCGTAAGAACTGACTAATTTAAATGACAATTTTCCCCATCTCTGTACCGCTCAATGATGTGTTCACCGTTCACGGAGGGGCACGCAAAGCGTTCATCCACTCCCCCCAATGTCCTTCGTGGTTCAGGCTATATAATTCGGTAGCTTGTTCGAAGAAGCAAGTTGCGAACACAGCGAATTTCACGAGCAGAGGCAAGTTCTTGTAAAGCCGACTTCCTTGTAATACATAGATCGTACGAGACAATCGAAACAGTAATTCGAAACTAGCTACGAGGAGCATTCTGCGTTTCCCAATAGAGACCAGTTCGTAGTTTTCCGGTGTAAGAATCGCGTTCATAAGACCCCGCGACATGAAAGTTTCACTTCTGCTGCTTGCTTTGCTTGTAATCGGTGTTGTAAACGCTGACACATATCCCGACAAGTACGATGACATCGACTTCGAGAGGATTATCCAGAACGGCCGTATCCTCACCAATTACATCAAATGCATGCTGGACGAGGGCCCGTGCACCAACGAAGGTCGGGAGCTGAAAAGTAAGTACCGAACAATTTCGAAAATGTATGTATGTAATGCAACAAAAGAAGTCCTCGAGTCTCCTATAAAATATTATTACACTTCGAAACATTTCCATTGTGATCACTGGAAGTGCTTCGTTATTGTCGCTATTTTTGTTCACGGAGCAGCAAAATAAAGCATTATTAACAAAAGGACGGGAACGGTGCTAAGCGTACCGTTCGACGAAACGCTATACTTGATGAAATTCCTTTCGTAACAGATTATACAATTTAATTACTTCGATAACATAATCTTAATGGTGTTCCTAATATCTCGTACACAGTGAAAATCCCGATTGATCAGAAGTTTGACTCACTGTTATAATTCAGAAGGTGACATTCTAGCATGATCTACGGTTTATAGATTCTTGTATATGTATATTACCGTTTTCATACACTCGTAATATCAATTACTTTTCTTTCTTTTTATATATATATTTATATATTAACATATATAAATTAAAATAATTAATATATAGTTATATATTAACACCATGCAATCGTTTTTTGTATCCATGAGTTACTGAAATATAGCGAATACGCGAAAATCCTCAAAATACTGAGAACTATTTATAAATTAAATTTCTACAGGATTTCCGTGCACTATAATAATAAATTAGTAATAATATTAATAGTAATAGTAGTAATAGTATAATAATAATATAATAATAGTAATAATAATAATAGTATAATAATAATATAATAATAGTAATAATAGTGATAGTATAATAATAATATAATAATAGCAATAATAGTAATAGTAATAATAATAAATAATAGTAAATTAGTAGATTATTTTAGATACGAATTTGTATAGATATATATCCATAGCTATTAGTTCTATTCGAAGTTTTACCTATCATTAAACGGAACACGGGGAGAAAAGCAATTTTCCTCAAATGCGCGACCAAAAGTGGCGTTGCTTTCATTTGGAAATTTCAATGCATCTGCGGTGACTATTACGACAGAGTTCACCCCACGCGTCCTGTTTCTCTCTCTTTCACTCTTTATTATTACGTAAACTACTTTAAACTTTCTCATTTAGAGTGCATCGAACTTTCTTAAGTAACATGTAAGTAACATGTATGCCCTAGCAATTAAACTAATCATTAATAATGAATGTTTCTTGTTTAAATAGCTTTCTTTCGATAAATAATTTTGGAGATGATTCAAAAATAATATATAATATATATAATATATAATATATAATATATAATATATAATACCTTTAAATAAATTTCAAAAAATGATAACTATGAACACTTTTAAACACAATTACGTATGTTTTTATGACATAAGAAAATGCTCAAAGCGATCGTTTGATATTGCGGTGAAAATGTTAGTAATATTATAGAAATATATACCATTTTATTTGCAAAACTGTATAGAATTAACAATTTTCTGTAAGGAATGTTTGTACAATTTTTTAAATTTTGAAATAAGTTTATTGAATGTCTATTGAATGTTTTATACAAACAAAATTAAAATTTATTATCTTAAAGTATCTTAGTCTTAAATAATATATATGTGTTTTCAGAAACGTTGCCAGATGCTTTAGCCACGGATTGCAGTAAATGCAACGAAAAACAGAAACATGCTGCAGATAAAATAATCAATCATCTCAGAAATAAGAGACCAAGAGACTGGGAACGACTTACAGCGAAATACGATCCAAACGGTGAATATAAGAAACGTTTCGAAAATACTCAAACTGCCAAAAAAACTTGAACTTAAAATGCAGGATCATGAGAATATTTATAAAATGAAGATGTACGGAGAATGGTAATTTGTTAAGCAAATTCAACAAACTCAATGTTATGTATATACATATACGCGTCATTCGTATGGATCATTTTCGGAGTTATCATTATTTATCGGAGTCGAAGATTTCATATTATACAGAAAATTATGCTGTACACTTTATGCGCATGTTTTTTCCTCTTCGCAATAAAAACAAAAATGTCTCTTATGTGTCCAGAAATAAAGTTCATTTATTGAAAAGTTTATTTTGTGAATGATATCATACATCTNAATACATTTAAATAAATTACAAAAAATGATAACTATGAACACTTTTAAACACAATTACGTATGTTTTTATGACATAAGAAAATGCTCAAAGCGATCGTTTGATATTGCGGTGAAAATGTTAGTAATATTATAGAAATATATACCATTTTATTTGCAAAACTGTATAGAATTAACAATTTTCTGTAAGGAATGTTTGTACAATTTTTTAAATTTTGAAATAAGTTTATTGAATGTCTATTGAATGTTTTATACAAACAAAATTAAAATTTATTATCTTAAAGTATCTTAGTCTTAAATAATATATATGTGTTTTCAGAAACGTTGCCAGATGCTTTAGCCACGGATTGCAGTAAATGCAACGAAAAACAGAAACATGCTGCAGATAAAATAATCAATCATCTCAGAAATAAGAGACCAAGAGACTGGGAACGACTTACAGCGAAATACGATCCAAACGGTGAATATAAGAAACGTTTCGAAAATACTCAAACTGCCAAAAAAACTTGAACTTAAAATGCAGGATCATGAGAATATTTATAAAATGAAGATGTACGGAGAATGGTAATTTGTTAAGCAAATTCAACAAACTCAATGTTATGTATATACATATACGCGTCATTCGTATGGATCATTTTCGGAGTTATCATTATTTATCGGAGTCGAAGATTTCATATTATACAGAAAATTATGCTGTACACTTTATGCGCATGTTTTTTCCTCTTCGCAATAAAAACAAAAATGTCTCTTATGTGTCCAGAAATAAAGTTCATTTATTGAAAAGTTTATTTTGTGAATGATATCATACATCTTAAGAGAATGTTACAAATTATAACGAGGAATGAAAGTATGTTTAAACCATATTCTATGTCATGAATGTAACAATACCCGACATTCATTCCACTCTTCTCTTCTTAACAAGTGATCCAAGCTGTAAAAAAAATAGTAATTTTATAACAACTATATGAATGTAATATTTTAAATAGAAAAGAAGACTACGCGATAAACCTACAAGATCAGAAATCGCAGGTAAGTTATTCGTCTGATCTGTAACATTTGCATCTGGTTCTCTGGTCTCTTTTGGAGGAGCAGCTTTTTTCATGTTTCTATGCTGTGGGAATGTGGGCATGAGCTTGGGGTCACATGCTACAAATTATAAATACACAGTCAGATAATTGAAATTAATTACTGAGTAGTAGAAGGTGTATATAGTTCCATATAACTTACGCAGAGGAGCTTCTTTAAAGTAGCTGCTTTGTAAACATTCTTCAGCTGTTGCTCTTTTCTTTGGATCATACATAAATAGGAAGTTTAATAACCTCAAGCCAGCAGCACTTAACCATGGAAACCTTTGTTTTAAATTATTATACGGTTGTTGTTTTAACGTAAAATTCTGCAATGCTGGAAGGGTATTAAATTCAGGCCAAATTGCTTCGCTCGGTGTACCCAATAAATCAACTATTAATTCTAGTTGCGAAATTTCTGATCGTCCAGGTAATAAGGGTCGATGTCCAAGCAGTTCGCCTAACATTCAAGTAAAATTACATGTAACATTATAATATTATATGAGAACAAGAAACTTGTATCATACCTAAAATGCAGCCAGCAGCCCACATATCCACAGAAGTTGTCTGGGTTTTTGCTTGCAGTAATAATTCCGGTGCTCTATACCATAATGTTACTACTCTAGGTGTCATTGGTTTTAAAGGTAAACCAAACCACCTAGCCAATCCAAAATCAGCAATTTTCACACATCCTTTGTCCGTCATTAAGAGATTAGAGACTTTTAAGTCTCTATGCACAATGAAATTATGATGCAAATAGCGCAAGCCTTTCAGTACTTGCAAAACAATACATTTAACCTGACTTTCGGAAAATGGAGTTTGCATATTGTCTAATAAACTTGCTAAGTCCTGTTCACAATATTCCATTGCAAGAAATATGCTTTCTAAACTCCTTCCTACTACAACTTCCCTTAAGTGTACAATATTTTCATGACGACAAGATAAAAGGACAGATATCTCCCTGAGTCCGCTAACAGGTAAACCATCTTTTTCGTGTTCCATTCGCACTTTCTTTAGTGCCACAATTTTATCATTTTTCGTATCTCTAGCTCGATAAACAATTCCATATGTACCTTCTCCTATGCGGTTTAACTTCTCGAACTCTGACACAAATCTGCATTTACCTAGCTGTTAAAAAAGATATATATTGTTGATATTAGTATGTTCTTATAATAAATATGATTGTAACTATTAAGAAAACAAATTATTACAATATCCTGTTCCGGTATTTCCATTGGTTTACCAGTCAGAAATGATGTTAATACGCCTCTTCTTGTTACCGGAGCCGACGGATCTGGTCCTGTTTCAGATGCAGCTTTCTTATCGGTATCATTATTTTCTATTGACTTTTTCTCTAAGCTTTCGTCTAAACAAATAAATTTTATATAAAACACATACATATACAATTACCGATCATTATTTCCAAACATTTCATTCTTAGTGCTTTCTTTTAACATTCTAACTTATACACAAATATCTGTAATTTTATTTATTAATTTTCCAATACCTTTTTAACAACAATCAAAATTCAAACAGTAATCGTAGGTAATGAATACAGAATCAGTACATAGTTAAATCAACAAAGATGTTAGTTTTTAAAAACTATTTCATATAATAGCACGATACAATATACTCTATGCATAAATAACATATACTTTCACAGAAAACGTTTAATAAACAACAACAAAATGAAGATACTTCATATATTCGATTTGTATTTACATTGCAATCATAATTTGAGTAAAGGAATACCTTTCGTCATGATGGTTGATTTGTTTTTAGAAAAATACTATCGAAATTATATTTATTCTTTCTTTCAGCATTCGTATTATTAAAAATGTGGAAATATAAAATTAATTGACTACACCAAACACTTCACCAGCCGCGATATTTTTTAATAATGTTCATTCGTTTTTACCATTGAAAACACGGTAACGAGTTCGTGAACTTCAGACATTAAGATACTGGAACATATGCGCTCTCTAACGTTAGATTTTATATAAAAAAAATAATCATTCAAAATGGCTGACATGGCATCAAGCTTCAAGTTCAAGCCTTGATATCATTGAATGCTATCTATACTCATATTCGCTATCAATGATCGCGATGAATGAACTTAATTTTGAACAAGGTAGTAAATAGTAGGTAGTAAAAATTCAATAGTAGTGAGATATTATATTATATTATATTATATTATATTATATATATAAATATATTTATATTATATATATATTTATTTATTTATATTATATTATATTATATTATATATTTTCCACGAG